TACAGGTCCCTTTTTATTCTCGTACGTCTAACTACTCCACATGACGGAATTCTCTCCGGCATATCTCGGGCCGAAGGTTAGTGCGGGACGCATAGCCCGATATGGCCACCAATTTCAAAGACCGGCTCAGGTCCATGGCTTTCGAGCGTGGAAAATTTCCATTTCCATTCTTCAAAGTTGCCTTTTCTGTCCACGCCTACCAAATCTTGTTTCACCTCCAATCATTTATGATTCAATCCACCTGCCAACACCACACTTTGGCCAGTTATATATCCGGTTGTGCAGAACATTGTCACTACATTTGCGACTTCCTGCGGTGTCCCTAGCCTTCCAAGAGGTATACTGTCTACCAAGCCTGGCACGCTGTCGCCGCTGGGAAGCAGTCCTGTCTCTCCAATCATAGCAGGAGAGACATCATTGGCAGTGATGTTGTATTCTGCGAGGCGTGTAGAGAGATTCTTCATCATGGATGTTAGACCGCCTTTTGAGGCCGCGTAGTCTCTCAAGATGTAAGACAAAGCATTGGCATCCAGGGGCGTAGGGGACGTACGGCATCCGTTTAATCCAACACCATAACCTGATATCGAAGAAATGAAGACTATTCGACCCCATCGCTGCGCCTTCATTCCTCCGGCGACGCTCTTCGCTAAGAGAAATGGTGCGCGGAGATTCACATTGATCGTATGTTCGAAAACATCGAGTGGAATATCCCTATTCAATAATTGGTCAACCGAGTCATTTCGGTACGATGAGAGTACAAGTCTAGATATAGGATTTTATCTCTTTGAATATACAAAGAGCGCGTGCATACTCGATATCGGTAATCCTCCGCCCGAACCCCGCATTCGCAATGAGAATATCCACCGGTTTTTCGTGTACGCTTTTGGCTTCTTCGCAAAGCCCCAATGTCTCTTCGACATCGGATAAGTCGGCTTTATGGACTGAAGACCTTGGAGGTTGTCGATTTGGATAGGTCCTTTCGTATTCCTGAATCAAGCTTACGACCAGGTTCTTGACGCTTTTGGAGTTGGAATGATATGATAGTGCTACGTTGACATGCTGCAGATACAGAGCTCGTGCACATGCTCCGCCGATTCCGCAAGAAAGTTAGACTCAAGAAAGGACTAATGCGAGAATATGGGTAAATGGACTCACCCTCCAGAAGCTCCTGTGATGAGAGCTAAACGTCCAGCTAGGTTATTGTCAATACTTGAGGAACTCATCTTTACATGAGGTAGAGATCAGCTGCTGCGTATATTGAACATGGAATGGAGCGAGTTTATCTGTTCAGATGGAAAGCATTCACCGATCTCAATCGCCGACAGCTTCACGTGACGAACTAGCTCTTCCGATGACGCCACTGACGATGGATTGCCTAAGATGGTAAGTCGTTAAGCCGTACTTCAAACTAATGAGCAAGGTGTAGCGTCGGAGGTAATTCTCACGCCGAGGCCTGAAAGCTTCATCCTTGATCTTACTTTGCATTTTTCACGATGACTTCGAGATTGTATCGGAGGTAATTGACAACAACCTCCCGAGAAATATTTCAAACCATGAAGTAGCTTGACAACAAATGATCATTCTATGTCGTGTTCGGACAAAATTTGGTGCTTTTGGAATAAAAGCAGCGATCAGGCTGCCAACAGCACGACTAGGACGGACATCAGATGAGTTTGTATATAACGTCGAGATTCTCTTACGCTTTTCAGTTCATCAATTCGTCCAAATCAATTCCGTTCAGCGGTTTCAAATTTGTGTCGTTCCTCTGAAGCCTTTGATCAAGACATCCTCAGCTCCAGTACCATCAAGCCCATCCATCTGCAATGGACCTCAAGAACATCGCTATCATCGGGGTAACGTCACCTCACCACTAACCACAAACAAGCACTCAAAATGACCCTAATAAATCACTCGACAGCCCCGCGGCAACGTCGGCTCCGCCATCATATCCGAGCTCCTCAAATCCAGCCCTCATTTCAACATCACAGCTATAACCCGCCCAACCTCAACATACACCCCGCCCACCCCCTCTTCCCCCATCACAGTCAAAACGGCAGAGTTCGCCTCCCTCGATTCCATCACCACAGCCCTGGTAAATCAGGATGCGGCGGTATGCTGCGTCTCGGGCTCCGCAACACAATTCGAACCTATGAAATTGATCACCGATGCGGCTATTAAAGCGGGAGTGAAAGTTTTCTTTGCAGATGAGTTCGTGGGGAATTTGGAGAGCGAGCATTTTAAGATTTTGCCGGAGAGTTATGTCGGGGCTAAGAGGAGGGTTAGGAAATATCTTGAGGAGGTTAGTGCGGACGGGAAAATTAAATGGTTGTAGTTTGAATGGGGGCCCATTTTTCGATATGTGTAGGTTCTCTCCTTCCATTTCCGATTTGCATCCCAGGTCTGGGGAAGGGGAGGAAGGATGAGGAAGAGTATGGGGTTTGAGAAGATGCTAACGATGGGTATACAGGGCTCATGCTAGGCCCAGCAGGCTTCGACATCAAGAATAAACGAGCGAGGATTTATGGAGAGGGAAATAATACGCTTTGCTGGACTCCCCTCTCCGTAATCGCGACTGCAGCGGTCAATATGCTGCGTAACCCCCTCCCTATATTGAATAAACCTACACACATCTGCGGCGTCGAAAACCTAACCCAACTTTCCCTCCTCTCAGCCCTTCAAGCTGTCCTGGAAACTAAATTCTCAGTCGAATACATTGATGTAAAGCAAATCAACAACAACGCACTGATTGCGCTCGAGAGGGGGGAGGTAGACAAGGCGATGAAAGGATTAACGGTTAGCGGACAGTTCTATGTGGGGGATAGTATTGCGAGGGAATTTTTGGCGCTGTGTGAGAATGAGAGGATGGGTGTGGTGCCGATGAGTGTGGAGAGCGCGGTTAGAGATGCGATTGCGGGGTGGGGGATGGAGATGGATGTGGTGCAGAGTTTCTTTAGGGTTGAACCATGTGAACCGTAGGAGAGGGAGTGGAAGTATGAGTGTGGAAGCGGCGGTTAGGGACGATTCGGAGTGGAGGGGACAGAATGGGGCATTATGGAAAGGTTATTTTGGATCACGCTGTGTAAAGTGTAGGCCAAGTTTTTTGGGAAGGCGGAGGCGGAGGGCGTAGTATTGGGGAGTCTGAGAAGGATGTGATTGAGAGATAGGAACGGAAGGGGGTGTTGAAGAGGAGTTCTTTCGGGTTGGCCCATGCGCAGTGTGAGGACTGCAAGGAATTTGGGGGGAATATTGTCTCTGGTTGCCGGGTCCTGGTTCCGGTGAAGGTTAAGGTGAAGGAGGGATGGTGAAAGTGAGACGGAGGGTTGGTGTTAGTGATTAGATAAGTAGCACAATGGACGGGAGCAAGCGAACTGGGAATTCACTGGATGGATAAATGAGCGATAAGTGAGTCATCCTTGCGAACATTGCGTGAACCATGCGATCCGGTGAATCGTGATGATCATGGAGGGTCTATGTTCCACAGAACGCTGATTGGCCAGCCTTGTCATATGGAAGTCCTCCACACCGGTTCGCTAATTGCATGATCAGCGATACAGGGCAACTGTTCGGATGCCTTGCTGTACGGTCACCGGAATGGTTGACATTCGGTAATTGATGCGTCTTCCAATCATTGGAAACTATATCGCCGTGTAAGGAAGACTGATATTTGACCAAGTCCTGCTGCCTTGTGCTACTTAGTCTTAGTGATATGACGATGGAACCTGCTTGCGCAATTGGTTCTGTGGTCGGTTCTCATTTCTGAAAGCACAAATATAACACACCGTAATTCGTTCGTGTAACGTTTCTACGCCCCCGTCGTCCAGCAAACTTTGAGTGCGCTGACGGTCCTTCAAGTGGGCTTCTGGCCATTATGATGCATCGTGAGAACCGGTGATGAAGGGCGCAGCATCAAGGAATATAAAAGGCGTCTGAAGGTTAAGGATAATTATCTTTCATCCAACCTCAGAGCACTCATTCAATCACATAGAATCATTCATTCACACTGGACAAATCCCCTGAGTCAGACGTGGACATCACATATTGTACATTCCCCATACTCATACCAAATATGCAACAGCCAAGAACCGGTATTATTTGTGGTGTCATGCCAGGTTGCAAGGCAGACGAAGACTCGTTCATTGATGAGCATTGTTTTTCTGGATATGGATCCAGGTATGCCTCCCTATCTGAATTTGATATATTCTCGGCGAATGGCTGATGGTGTCAGAAACAATGACCAACGTTTAGGATGGTACTGTTAGGGAGTGGGTGCCTTTAAATGATAGTAGAGACTTACATGAGAATGACTGCAAACAATGTGGGGGGAAGAGAATGTTATGTTGAATCTGTGCTGGGATGAGGGCAGGGTCAAATTGCTTTCTACGATGGCGTCAGGAGTTACGGTTGTTTGAATGGGTTTTCAGTTGCTCGTATTGATATTATGATGTTATGATGTATTTTTGAGCAACGAAGCGAGCAATTCTGGGTGGAATTCGGCGGAGGAAAGCGGGAAATTCAACTGGTAGAAATTCCTGCTTCGTAGTCGGACAAAATATTCTCAAACCTACGGAACCACCCAACAACTTTCTTTCAAATGGACTGGGCCTTATTCCCAGAATTAATACCTCCTCACAGGGAGAAACGACATGAAAGGCTTGACTGAAGATTGAGTTGGTAGAACTCTTTTCGAGTGAAGCGAGGCCATGGGGATTTTGGGGCTTGCCTCTATGAAATGATGTAGAGTCCAACTTCAAAATTGTTTGCTTCGCGCTCCGATTTCAGAATATTTATGGATTTAAAGCGTATTTTATATATGAAAATCCTAAGTAGCAAAGAGATTTTCCCAAGACCAGGTTCCTAATGTGACTTTGTAGAGACCGCCTTTCCTTTTTGCTTCCCCTTTGCCCCACCTGCATCGCCCCGCAATCTCGCCTGTTTCTTCTCTCAACATTGAATTTTGACTATATATATTAGCTAAGAAAAGTTTTTTTCTAAAATCCTTCCTCACCTTGGTGTAGTTGGTTATCACGTTCGGCTGTAATATCAAATGTAACCGAAAGGGTAAGTCAAACTTATTGTATCTTAGCATTCCTAACAGCAACCAGTCCCCGCTTCGATTGCGGGAGGTGAGACATCACGAATCTTTTTCTCTTTTTGCTTTATATTTTCTTTTGGTAAGTGTTTTTCCCCTCGACGGCCTGTGATACAGCTGGGAGAGTCATCACGCTTTTTATATTCCGTAGTGTCGGCACGGATTAACATTTGGACGCACACATTCTGATTCAGGTTGTAGGTAAGGAAGAATCAATCTTTATGCCTCAACAGAACCTAGGCACAATCTATAGCTTGTAAGCCATTAGGATGTGATGCTATTTAATTTGATCTGCTCCCTCTATGAATTCATTTTCTGAAGTGCATCCTTCAGCTCACCTTTACTTCTTCCCAACTCCTTCCGCACGTCATCTGGGATATCCCTCGGGAACTGCAACGCAGCTACCCCTCTACCACTTTCCGCAGTATCTCCCAATCGCGTCTACATGTACTTCCAAGGTTAGCACCGGACGGGTCTTACGTTCTTTCAAAAAATCATCGTCTTTAGTTAATGGTCGCAACTCTGCTCTTTCAGCTGATATCCGCTTTCCCCTAATTTCAAACGATGCGTCATATTCGAATCCCGATGGACGAGTCGTATTAAACCATAAGCATAGAAATGGCATGAGGATCCTGCCAAGGATTTCCTCCGAAGTACAACCAGTAAAATGCAGCATAACGTTTCCAGGCCAGGCAGAGCCTCCATGAACAATTCCTTTTTGCTGAATATCGTGCAGCCACTGCAGAGCATGCCATACCTCGATGAAGATGTGGAAGATAAGGATGGAAATGGAACACACGCGTTGAGTAGTTCTTCTAGAGAGTATGTCCAAGAACGTGTTTCATGGCAATCCAGGTATGTTTTTCTAGTGCGTCAGTCTCATGGCCAGGGTCTAGAAAGATTCTCCCAATCAGCTCGATGTCCTTTGCTCCAGCGTTTTTGATGATTTCGAGGAACTCCGTTCTGGGCCTCATTCCATGTGATTTACATTGACCGCGACCACTTGACCGAGTACAGAGTTAGTGCCTTGTGCCTGTAGCTGGCCCGCAAAGAAATATGAGTTCGCATTGTTGGGTTGAAGATCGATTAGAGGTATGGATGTAATTGTTAAATTTGACATGTACCGGGGCGATTAGAAGTCGAACATTTTGAAGAGCTTCTCAGTGATCCCCACTTAGATTAAGTATATCGTTCGGATCTGAAGACTAATGCAATTTAATTTTTCCGTACGTCATCGCAAAGGTTTGGAGAGGTCGTGGCAGCGGGAGATCGTCAGTTAATGCGGACGCGCATGACAATATGCGGGGGGGTGGACGGAAAATAACACCAAGCATCTACGTCACAGTTCCAACATAATGAAGTAACGCCATCGTCTCTCTTTTCCTTCTCAACAAACCTTGGAACACCTACCTTATCGTTGAGCATTCCATTGCAATTTTACTTTCCCGTCACCATCGGCCCAATTCGGTCATTTACATTCTACCGCTTCCTGATATTTCTCCGTCGTCATTCTGAGTTCAGGTGAACATTCAAAATGGTCTACACGATAGTTGTGCATCTTTATGCAAACGATAATCCAACGGATATCCAGAAGCTGAAGGAGAAGTTGATCGAGGCCAGCCAAGTTTACAGCAAGGACCGCGAGACGTTGAGTTGGTTTGTGATGCAGGATGTGAGCGATCCAAGGAAGTTCACAATTGTGGAGAGATATCTAAAAGAGAGTGTAAGTTTGAGTCCCACTCAGAGATTCTCGTGCTGCAAGGTTGCATGAAGTTGGGATACTGACACGTGACTGCAGAGTCAAAAATACCACCTCGAGGTATTCCACCACAACCTAGACGACAAAGGCATGCATATAGGTTTTCGATAGGCTAACATTCCCGTAGAATCCGTACTGGAAAACTTTCGACCCTTATGTGAATCCGCTGCTGGACAAGCCGATGGATCTTCGCCGGTTCAACGAGCTCGACACCAATGGGGGCGCCGCCGGCGCACACTATCATGAAGATGCACGTCACGATACGTCTATTACCACTATGTATGACGATGCTGTCTAATCACTTGATCTTGAATTGTGTCTCGTGGATGAAGAGAGGGGCTTGCTGAAGAGAAGTGTAAGAACGCTTAAGGAAAGATGATGCAAGCAGTCTCAATGGCTTCTGTTCAATCTTAGCGACGATATAATTTTCCAATTGACATTGGCCTTTGGTTTAAAAGAGTGTTTTGATTCTCATTCCATGTTTTCATTTCCAAGCATCACTTCTCTCTCTTCCCGTCCTACATATGCACCTACCACAACACTACCACAACATCACAACTATCCCTCACCCCCGCATCCCACGAGGTCGGAGAAATAGACCCGTCTTGTCGAAAGTAGCACCCGCACACCATTTCTGCAAATCAAGCTTCCTATATCGCGGCATTGCCGGGGCGCCGATATACCCCCGGTTACTGGAGACGGACTGTCAATCTACCGGAAATGCAATATAGACCAACGCCTTCCATTCGTCCACCATAACAATTCCGCACTCTTCGACCAAAGAAGAATATTGGTGCTTCATCTAATGTATATACGCTTAGAAATAATGCTGTAAAATAATGGTCCAGCCTAAACTCATCACACTCGTGGTAAGGTTAAGTAGCGCTACATTCCTCCCTTTCTGAACCCGTGTGTGATCTTCAAATTCGAGCACATCCCTTACTGAGCGAAATAGACTGCCCCGTCCTCCCCCATCTCCCAACTTTTTTACTAGGCAAAAGTTCCACAATGCACTTCTCAACCGCAGCTTTCTTGGCCCTCGTGCCCACCGTTCTCGGCCACGGCCTAATCACCGATCCTCCCTCCCGCCCCGTCGGCCCCGCCATCCTCGAAAACTGCGGCAATGGCGTCGTATCTCAAATCAAAGCCGACAACACCTCACACGTCGAAGGGCTCCCCGAAGCCGCGGCCAAGGACAAAGCTTACAAAGCTGACAGGTGCAACCTGTGGCTCTGCAAGGGTCTCCAGTTCGCCGACAACACTGCCAATGTTCAGAAGTGGTCTGCTGGTCAAGTCGTACCTATTAAGATCTGGTTGAGGATTCCGCACGAGGGAAGCGCAAATGTGAGCATTGTGGATACGAAGACGGATAAGATTATTGGGAGTATGTTGAAGGTGTGGGAGAAGGGGTATGCGCCAGGACGAAGTGAGAAGGATGTCCCCAAGGATCAGAAGGAGTTTAGTGTTACGGTGCCGACGGGATTGGAGGAGAAGTGTGCAACTGCCGGTGATTGTGTAAGTTCAGGGCCTCTTGGAACTTTATGTGTTTGGTTAAAGGTTTGTATCGTGCTAATTGTTGATCTACAGGTCCTCCAGTGGTGGTGGTACGGTAATGGTGCTAGGCAGACTTATGAGTCTTGTGTCGACTTCCAGATCGTGAAGCCGGCGGCCAAAGAACGGGCTTTCAGATCTTGAGCGCTGGATAGCAGACTTAGGAAAGCGGGATGAACAGACCTGGCCGGGCTTATTGGTACTCTCTTGGATGACTCATCACCTAGAATTGAATGAAATGTGGGAAACACTCTCCCAAAGCTCCAGACGTTTCCAATCTGTATTTTTGCCAAATATTATTCCTGTGTACCCGGAAGCGTCGCGTTCCGTTTGGATTGACGTTGAAATTTGGTAGCTAAAGTCTGGGGAAGGGTAAGGGGTAATAATGATTTAGCGAATCAGATCGCTGCCGATCCATGGCGCTTGATTGAACAATCTATCTGTAGAGTGTTTCGCGTGTTTATATATCTGCTTTCTGGGAATGATCTGATGCAATTCCAAATCATGGCCATGCAGGGACAGACGGTCAATGCGGAGGGATGCTTGGCGTGGTGTTGCAAATGTGCGTGCTGAGGTGTTGGTCCAACATCAATATGCGGCATGCTATTGAGATATGATTGCTTGTGTAGAAAAGATGTTGCGCTACTTATTAGTCAGTTCTAGGACAAGTCTGTGAGAGATGCAGGATAGAACGAAAGAAGCAAACCTGTATGGATTGAAATATCAGACTTGGCATAAATGGAAGGTCGGCACATCAAATGAAACTCGAGAGCGTTAGGGTCTGCTTGATTGAGAGTTGAGTGAGGTTATCCTAAATTCCAAAATACACTATACTTCATGAAATACATTGGTGTCTAGATGAGAATAGTTCGTGTAACTAAGCATCAAATTTAAATGTGACCCGAAAAGTATCCCTTCTCACTTCGCAGCCTCTTACTGTTGCCCATGCTTCTTGGTCTTGGCCACTGAGCCAGCAACGACTATCCCAAGCAGCAACAAGCAGACGAAGCCAACCATGAAGGTCGCAGCGACCATGGTACAGCAATGCCTTTCATTCGCACGTCGCTCTCGCGCTGCCATTTGTACGTCGCATTGCTCGCAGTGGACGTGAGGTTTCGGACGGAAGACTCCAGCAATCGTCTGAACCAGAGTCTCGGGCTGCCGTGGGACAGGGCTGGGGGAGGTATGATTGTGTTCGCCCGCTTGGAGCTCGACGTCGTCTTGTGGGACAGCAGCGTACTGAGGGATATGACGTTAGCTGACCGCAATAAGATAGAGGATTGGGATAGCCACTCACTGCTGATGCAGAGCCAGACGGCGGATACTGGTTCACGGGATGGTCATGGATGACATCCTCGTAGGCTGGAGCCGACTCTTGCGGGGTTGTGGGGTTGCCCATCTCGCACGTTTGTCCTGTATGGTGGTAGAAAGTTCAATTTTTCAATACTGAGAATCAGGGCGATTTCCTGGCTTTAGCACTTGAAATTGACAATGAGGGTGTCCAACGATGCCTGAGGCTGTGCTGAATTCGTTGTGCCGCGTCATCCGAATCAGCCACATTCTGTGAGGTGATCGTATTTGAGCCCAGGAAAAGACAGCAACTTTTTCAAACTGATGGGTTGTTTAGTTTCATGAAGGTCAGCAGCTTTGAAGGATGTTTGGAGACGGTTGCAATGAGCCAAGCCGAAGACGTTTGAGGGTTCTGTTACCATATTTGCCAAGCTCTGTCA